TGCACGTACACACACATCCCTTGTTTGAATAGACATGACTTGCACTGCCCCTGGCGAACAGATGTGACCTCCAAATCTAAACATGGTGACTGTTCGTCCAGGGCCAAGGGGCGGTTTCATAGGGGTCTTTGGGTACCATTGACCTTGCTGCTGTCCCTATTGAGGAACAGGTTGTTGCGGTGATGGTGTAGCTACCACCGCTGACCCAGAAGAAGAAGAAGCAACACTCTGTGCGGCTGCTGTAGACGTACCACTTGGCTGTGTGTCGGCTTGTACCTGAAAGGGGCCTGACATCGTCGTTAACGGCAACAACGACTGTGCTGCTGGCCTAAATCCTAGCCTTTGCAAAAGGTCCAAGATCTGGTCCAAAGAGTTCTGCATAAAGTCCAGTCTGCTGTCCACATGCGGATGCAGCGACAGTACACTGTTCTTCAATAATTTCATTTGGTCAGACATGGCTGACTCATCTAAACCCTTTAATGCAGCTTTGTCTGCCTCTAACGTATCAAGCCTGGCTGTTCTATTTTTGATCTTTTTTTCTCTGTCGGTAGCTTGCTTCAGTTCCCTCTCTAAACGAGCGCGGATCCTTTCGACTTGCTGGAGCTCTAGGAGCTCCCTACCGCGTGGGGTCAACGGGCATAACTGCGAGCCCGCCATTTGACTTGTGGATTGACTAGAACCTACTGACCCGGAAGTACTCGTGGGCCCAGATGGCATTCCCAACTGAGTCTTAGACGAGGACGCAGCAGAGGCTGCGTCGTTAGCCATTGTTGTTGCTCTGGCTGCTGCTGCCTGTTCTCTAGCTGCTGCGTTTGCTGCCTCCCTGGCTGCTGCGAGAGCACGGGCTCTACGTTCGGCACGAAGCCGTCTTTCGTCTCCCGGTTGTAAGGTCTGAAACACGTGTGGGACCCTAAGTGATCTCGAATGTGTCAGTCTCGCATCGTCAACTCCACCCTCATCGGTGTCTAACCCGCTCATCGGTTAGGCAAACACTTTCTGCACTACAACCCCCTGCTGGAGTCCTACCACAGCATGTGTCTGACCGACACCTAATTTTCTAAAAATAAACGTGTCCGGCAGGTCCCCTACTTGACCGATCAAGTGGCAGCCTACAACATTCACAAAAGACTATCTACATAATTTAGTATTATCATGATTAATTCACTTACATAAGTTTGCATAAAACTGGCTATGGTAGTATACAACAATCCTAAACTGTCTGTGAGGTGTTAGCAGTCTGTTAACCAACTAATCAATAATAAAACTAAAATATGTTGCAGATGTATGAACAGTGGGTATGGTTGTGTTTTCAGTTGAGCACCAATTAGAACCTAACCTCCCCTCAATCCAACATACCGATGAGCATCTTTGAGCAGCAGTGTCTTCGTGTGTAATGTCGGCCCACCCCTGTGCCCCAAGTCATTGCCGAAGAAGCCAGCCCATCCACTCTTATTTACCCTCGTACGGAACGAGCCTTACTACCCGGTTTGATCTGGCTGATCAGGAGGGATTTAAGGAGAGCCCCCATCTCCTAAGGAATTATTTAACGTCGCAGACAGGACGACNGAGCCTTACTACCCGGTTTGATCTGGCTGATCAGGAGGGATTTAAGGAGAGCCCCCATCTCCTAAGGAATTATTTAACGTCGCAGACAGGACGACGATCACAGCCAGTATCAACACCGAGTCCCCAGCCAGAAGTATTTRTAGACGGTCTGGTAAGCGTCTCTTATGGGCYGRCACCCCCGRCACGACTTCTATAGCGCAGCAAAGTGCCAAAATGGACAAGCARCCATCRCATGCGTGACCTACTCCCATTGGGTTGGCATGGTGATCGTGACCCAAGTGATTCGACCAGGGCCCTTCAGAGGCACCGCCCTTTCTCCTTCCGGATGCTTCCGGGAAGATTGTCGTCTCTCAAGGTAGCACGCACACGACACCTCACCAAAAGAGAGGACTCTCAAGTTGGACTCACTTCCTCGCGGTAAGAAGAGATTGAGAGAGTAGATAAGGTWAGGRAACAAYGTACCTGGAGATAGCTKCCCCCAACCACAGATTTCTCACCGATTGAGCTGAGTGTGCATTTGATGACCGGTCGTAGCCTCGRTACCACCCACAACACAATGCAGTGCCACCTCAGCTTAATGCCAYATCAGCATGCTCTCATCACCAATCATACATTCSRMAGTAACCACGGCAACCCATGCYGTATAGCCTTTCGGCGCACASCTCTCTWCCCAGGTCGTGCRCCTAATATGGCCTGAYGTCACAAGAACCAAYTGCGAAGAAGCATCGTCAACGCACCAAGTCTGTATAACGCCAGYGCACCAAGGTAAGYGGSGAATCGAACCAGCTCTGATACCAAAATGCAAGGAACATGAATGTGGACGAAGCACAGAAATCCAAATTGCAAAATCACACTGAAGTCCAAGTAGTCAAAGCAAGAGCAGATAGCACAATGGAACCGAGTAACCATCCATTTGAGAACGATGCAGAAGAATCGTGAGTCAATGTCCAAGCCCAATCGAGCAACACCAACAGCATAACCCAATGTAGCTCTCTCTCTTGAATGGCGCCAGGCGCCCTACCTACTCTACAGCCTGTCACTACRACTAYAGCATGGAAGCAACCAGACAACTTGACGACCAGCGAGTGATGACGTCAACACCAATGCCGACCTCCTCTCCACCAGGTACGTCTCTCTCTCTTCACCCTCACTCTCCCTTGTTATCCCACACAGCGCCCTTCACCTCCGAAGAACCACCTTCGCCCTTCACCTCCTCTGCGCCCACAGGCAGCCCGACTATGGCCGCCAGCGCCCTGCGCTTAGGCTGCGCTCTACCGCTTAGCGCCAGCCTGCCCTCACTCAGCCTAGCACAGCGCAGCACACTCGCAATGCAGCAGCGTGCCGGCCTTGCTCGCAATGGCCAAGATCCCTGCCCACTCACCCCCTCTGCCTATATGCCCGTGTTGCGTGTGGGCGGCCTCCCTTGAGCCTGCGCCTGGGCCCCAGTACCTGTATCCAGGCCCAATGCGGTTGGGGCCCACGAAGCACAGTTGTGCCTCTCYCATCCAGGCCTGCGTCCARATTCAGATAGYGGACCGGTTTCCCATTGGCATTTTCGGCCTCTATTTCCAGCATGCAATGTCGGCCTCACGTTTATGTGCCCAGGGCCTAACCAACTCTRAAAGGCCCTGGTCCTTCTGCATTTGCAGAGATCCGGTACTCGGTGCACTCYAACCAAYTGGCGTGCGGCAACTGTATGGACCCCACTTCGTGAAATGTTTGAACAGAGGGCTCTCGTTGATTTGCTGGCCCGCCTTCACTTAGGGCGGGCACGATGTTTGCTGGGGGCGTTGGCCCAGAACATGTACACCACGGCAAGGCCCCTTTGAGGGCTCAATCCTCACATTCCATCCCCCTTAGCTTCGAAAGTCCGCTGAGATGCTTACTTCGCAGGTGCCTTCCCTTTTAACATTCTTTCATATTATGCCACCACTTGAGGAGTTGTGTCAATCAGTTCCTCTCTGGTAAACCACCGATCTTCTTTTGGATCCGTATGATGCCTGAATCTGACGCGATATTCTCTCTTGGGTTTGGAGGTCTTCCTCGACCCAGCGGCTTTGGAACAGGCAAGTCTTTGTGATCCACAATGTCGTCGATGTCCACTTGGCCATCCATGGTTGGGGGCAGCATCGATCTTCTTGAAGGGAATTGATCTGTCTCAGCGAAAGGTGCAAGCTTTGAGGCATGAAAGACAGGGTGAGTGTGCAGATGACCAATGATACTGATAACATACGTAGGACCATCCATCTTATCCCCAACGATGTCCAGAACTTCCCAGGGACCAAAATACTGAGGCATTAGTTTTCGAGAGACACCGAATTCCTGTCCTAGCTCACTAGCCTTGACCGAGACACGTTCCCCTACCTGAAATGAAGACTTTCGACGATGTTTGTTCTCAAAAGCAATCATTGCTTGCTGAGCTTTCCTGATGTGCTCGAGAGCTTGCTGTAGCAACTTCTCATACTGCACACCATACTCAAGTGTGCCCGGAGTTGCAGAGGATCGATTTTCAGGTAGGAGGAAGTCCAGAGCTGATCTAGGCTTCCATCCCAAGTTCAGCTGATTAGGACTAACGCCGGTACTGTTGTGTACAACGTTGTTGTACAGGCTGGCGATGAGAGGCAACTTCTCATCCCAGTCATCCTGGCTGGGCTTGATGTAATGCCTCA